AGTATTTCTGTTTCTGCTTCTCCATTTGATTTGATTCATTCTGATGTATAGGGACCTTCTCCTATTGTCACAAAATGAGGGTCTCGATATTATGTTTCTTTTATTGATGATCATACTCGTTATTGTTGGGTTTATTTTATGAAACATCGTTCTGAATTCTTTGAGATATATACAGCCTTTTGAGCTCTTGTCAAAACTCAACATTCTGCTATTATCAAATGTTTTAGGTGTGATTTGGGTGGGGAATACACTTCTAATAAATTTTGTGAGTTGCTTGCCTTAGATGGAACTATTCACCAAACCTCGTGTACAGATACTCTTGAGCAAAATGGTGTTGCTGAAAGAAAACATAGACATGTTGTTGAAACTACTCGTTCTCTCTTGTTGTCTGTTTCTGTTCCTAGTGTTTTTTGGGGTGAAGTTGTTGTTACTGCTGTAGGTTTGATTAATACAATTCCATCTTCTCATATTTCAGGTTTTTCTCCTTTCGAAAAGTTGTATGGGTATGCCCCCGATTATTCTTTCTTTAGAGTTTTTGGTTGTACTTGTTTCATTCTTCGTCCTCATGTAGAATGCAGCAAGTTGTCCTCTCGATCTACTATTTGTGTCTTTCTTGGTTATTGTGAAGTTAAAAAAGGGTATAGTTGTTTTGATCCAATAACTCAGAAACTTTATGTCTTGTCATGTTGTTTTTCTTGACCATATACCTTTCTTTTCTATTCCATCCACTTCCCATAACTTGACTAGATCTGATCTTATTCGTATAGATCCTTTTTCTAAGGATTCTGATAGTTTGTCATCTCAGGTTCCTAGTACTTCAATTACCCCTTCTCGTGTTCTTACCTCGTTACCCTTACATTATACTCGACCAATTCATACTGATCATTCTGCAGGTACTGACACTTTACTCTCCGGCACACCTGAAGCTCCCTCTTCTCCTATAGTCCCTCAAGCTTCGTCTGAGATTGTGGATCCACCTCTACGCCAATCCATACGCACTCGTAAGTCCACAAAGTTACCAAATTTTTCTTATTCTTGTTATTCTTCATCTTTTGCTTCCTTTTTAGCTTCTATTCATTGTCTCTCTGAGCCCTCTTCCTATAAAGAGGCAATTCTTGATCCTCTTTGGCAGCAAGCTATGGATGAGGAACTTTCTGGTTTGCATAAGACAGGTACTTGGGATTTGGTTCCTCTACCTCCTAGTAGGAGTCTTGTTGATTGTCATTGGGTGTATAAGATCAAGACTAATTCTGATGGATCTATTAAGCGATACAAAGCTAGGTTGGTTGCAAAAAGGTACACTCAATAGTATGGTATGGATTATGAGGAGACATTTGCTCTTGTTGCAAAAATGACTACTATTCGTACTCGTATTGCGGTAGCTTCGGTTTGTCAGTGGCATATCTCTCAACTTGATGTTAAAAATATCTTCTTGAATGGAGATCTTCAAGAAGAAGTTTATATGGCACCCCCTCCTGGTGTTTCACATGATTCTGGGTATGTTTCCAAGTTCAAGAAAACATTATATGGTCTTAAACAAGCACCTCGTGCTTGGTTTGAGAAATTTTCTATTGTGATCTCTTCCCTTGGATTTTCTTCTAGTAGTCATGATTCTGCTCTTTTTGTTAAGTGTATTGATGCAGGTCGTATCATTCTGTCTTTATATGTTAATGACATGATTATTACTAGTGATAATATTGATGGTATTTCAGTTTTGAAGACAGAGTTAGCTCAACAGTTTGAAATGAAGGATTTGGGTTCTCTATGACATTTCTTGGGTATTGAGGTAGCCTACTCACCTAGAGGTTATCTTCTTTCTTAGTCAAAATATGTTGTAGATATTCTTGAGCGGGCTAGACTTACTGATAATAAGACTGTAGATACTCCGATTGAGGTTAACGCAAAGTATTCTTCTTCTGATGGTTTACCTTTGTCAGATCCTACTTTATACCGTACTATTGTTGGGAGCTTGGTATATCTCACTATTACTCATCCAGATATTGCATATGTTGTTCATGTTGTTAGTCAGTTTGTTGCTTCTCCTACTACAGTTTATTGGGCAACTATTCTTTGTATTTTGCGGTATATTCGGGGTATAGTCTTTTAGAGTCTTTTACTTCCATCCACCTCTTCCTTGGAGCTGCGTGCATACTCTGATGCTGATCATGGCAGTGATCCCACAGATGGCAAGTCTGTTACTAGTTTATGTATCTTTTTGGGTGATTCTCTTATTTCTTGGAAGAGCAAGAAACAATCTATTGTTTCTCAATCTTCACCCGAAGCAGAATATCGTGCTATGGCATCTACTACCAAAGAGATTGTTTGGTTACGTTGGTTACTTGCAGATATGGGAGTTCTCTTTCTCATCCCACTCCTATGTATTGTGACAACCAGAGTTCTATTCAGATTGCTCACAACTCGATTTTTCATGAACAAACTAAGCACATTGAGATCAATCGTCACCTTACTTGTCATCATCTCAAGCATGGCACCATTACCTTGCCCTTTGTTTCTTCTTCTTTGCAGATTGCAGATTTCTTTACCAATTCGCATTCTATTTCCTGTTTTCGTTTTTTAGTTGGCAAACTCTCGATGCTTGTAGTCACCGCATCGTGAGTTTGAGGGGAGTTGTTAAGAAATATAGGGTTATTTTGTTTTATTGTTTATTAAGGGTAGAATAGTCTTTTCATTATTTCCCTGTCTTTTCAGTTTCCTTTGTTTAGCCTACATACAGTCTCTTTGTATTTAGGTTAAATCATTCTTTTGTATTCGATTGCATTGTACAGTATCAATGAAACCCTAGCCTCTTCTTTTTCTTATTTCTTTGGATTGTTTAACAATACTTACTGTAATTCAAACCATATGCTCCATCCTCTCAATTAAGAAGCAGTAAGAGAGCAGGCGTGATATAGTTTAATTATAATAAAAAGTAATCACTGTGTTTCTCTTTCATGCCATCTTCTTTCTCCATGGTAATATTTTTTTCTATGAAAATGGATTCCGTTATTGTGCTTGCAATGAAATTTTGTTCAAAGCAATTTCGGCTCGTGTTTGCTGTAATTTCAGCTTTGTTTAACCCAGAAAATATAGGAGCAAAGAAGATTGGAAGTGAAGTTTAATTTCTGAATTAAATATTACTTTTAGTTTAAAAACAGAGAAGAAATTAGAGGAATAAACTATGCAGAAGCTCTGTATTTAACAACTTTGTTTCTATACTTGTTCTAGATGATCTAAATCTTGATTTAATGGTTTTAGATGCCGCCGGTGGATTTAATGACGAAATAGATCTGTTTCTTTTGAGATGTATAGAAATAGATCAGATCAGTTAGAACAACATGTAAATTAGGGTTTCAAAATTGAAAGTGATATAATCAGTTTCAATTTTTTTTATTGAATATCTTCGCAAACTAATTTTTCAATAGGCCAGCGGTTTAGTATTCCAAACATTGGAGAGTGTCCGGGTTTGAGTCTCGATTTAAACCAATTATGACATCAAATTCTACTTAAAAACTATGTAATTATATTTGGGCCATTAATACGGGCTGAGATTCTAAATGGAAATTGTACAAACCCTGGGATGTTGTGTAAACGCAGGTATCAGGCCCGGAAAATTTGGTTATCCCTAAACACACATATATAACAAATTAAACGTGAACTTCTCTTCCATAAGAAAATGCATCATATTTAGATTGATTATCTGATGATGATCAGATTGGACCACGGTGCAATTATCATTAATGTTAATTAATTAAATAATGTTATGAAGTACACATAAATTAATTAAAAAAGACTTTGTATAAATTAATAATGTCGGATAGTAAACAAGCTAACAATCAAATTAATTAATAATTTTATATTATCTAAGTTCTTTGTTGTTATTTAATTTGTCAAAGCATCTCTTACATATACCTCTCATTGTGCTGTTTTCCTGCACTTAGAAATTTCATTACTGTCTTTTGATATCAATCATAAAAATATTCTTAAGTATACATGCAAATATATTCTGATTTATGTAGTTATTACTTATTAGTTCTTTCTAGATTTTAATAATGATAGGACGTTTGTTAATGATTGTGCTACTAGTGATCAGGATGGAGAATAATGTTGAAATAGGAAATGAACAACTGGAAAGAAGTGATCATGCAGTGATTGACATCGATGAAAACCAATAGTTTGAATTGCCAACTTCTATGAGGAATGAAATTGAATCATTCTGTACTTTATCTGGTGAATGCAGTATCCACAGAGTTCCCAAGTATCAATGTCAATTACATGAAAAGGCCTACACACCTCAAATCGTTTACATTGGTCTGATTCATCATGGTAAAAAAGAGTTAAGGGCAATGGAAGATTACAAAAGAAGGTACCTGCAAAGTTTTGTTCAACGAACTGAGGTATAAAATTTGTAAAGGAAAATGAAAGAAAACTGCATAATTGTTATGTAGAAACTACTGATCTTGACAGTGACAACTTTGTGAAAAATGATTCTAATGGATGCTGCCTTCATTTTTGAGGTACTATCGATGCATTTTAGAAAGGATCATCCCAATTCTAGTCGTGTATATGGTAGTCCCAAAAAAGATTTTGATGTAATCAGTGACTTGTACAAGCTCGAAAATATGATTCCATTCTTCATTCTTGAATTAACATGCATTGAGATATCTTGTGCCCAAAAAGTGAAGCATTCTATTCTTTCAGATTACCCATAATCTCACCAGATGTTGTTGGCGTTACTTAAGAGTAGATTGTAAATGTAACATCAATTATGAAAGCAAGTTTGTGGGTGTCGAACATCTTGTAGACTTCCTAAGAATTTCCATTGTACCTTCGAAGCAAAATGTGGAAAAGAAACCAAAAATTCTAACGACACCTAGTGCAAAAAAACTACATCAAGTTGGAGTTTAACTTTAAGTTGAGATCATCAAGTGAAAATTTATTTTATATAAGATTCCAGAATGAGATATTGGAAATTCCATAAATCACAATACTAAGTACGATGGAAGATATAGTGAAAAATCTTTTCACCTTTGAGAAAAGTCAATGCATAGAGTTGTTCTTATAAGACTATTTTATCTTCATGAATTATCTTTTTAACACTCCTAAGGATGTCAAATTACTTGTCCAACATGAAATTATTGTAAAAATATGGAGGAAGAATTGATTTTCATTTATGTATTACAGCATACAATAGAGGGTTAGTATATTATGTATAGACATAACTAATCTAGGAAAGAAATAAAACGTCAGTCCTATTCTAGGCTAGTATCCTAGATGATTCTCGATTTCTGGAATCAAGGGATTGGAGTCAATCTTGGTGATTAGATAATCCCCATAATCTCTCTATTGATAGCTCATGCCAACACTCCCCCTCAGGTTGATGAATACATATCCCTAATGCCCAACTTGAAGACCAAATTGAAATGATTGAAATCATTAGCAGATATATAAAAAGGGAATATAAATACAGAACTTTTGAATTTAACTTATACCAAGCAAAAGTAAGTGAATGTTTCAAAGAGAAGATTGATAGCTGAGTACGTATGATAATTGTTACAATAAAACAAATATATGAAAACATATCTGCATATATACTTACATTATTATGATTGAGATCCTGCAGCCTTAAATTACACTTCTTCTGTATACACCTAGTACTGAACAAAAACACTGAGAACCCCAAAGTTAGGAATCAAAAAAAAAAAAAATGCTGAAACCTTAAGTGCAAGAAAACAGCCTTGATGATATTGGCACAATGGCACTTCAAAAATGAAATGTATTTGTCAGAGATGCTTTGATAAACAACAAAGAACTTAGGCAAGAGAAAATACAAAATTTCCTTAGCTTTTTTATTATCATTTATTATTTTAAGAAAACCTAAAGCAACGAGGAGATTTATTATATAAAAGAAAGAATAATAGGATAGCAAATCAGGCGACATAAATAAGTTTTACCTCTGATTGCTATCATAGAATAATTATTAATAAAATAAATCAAAATATAAATTATAAGAATCTATGGCTTCGTTTGTTTCAATTTTCATAATACTACTTTTAGTATTCCCAAAAAAGTTAAACAGTAAAATACCCAAAAACTTTGATTTTTGGGAATCCTACTCTCAATATTATTCAACTTTTTTTAAACCCTTTAAATTTGATAATTTAATTAAATACCCCTAAATATTTTTTTAAAAATTACAAAAACACCCCATTAATTTATATTTACCAGATTTCGGCCACCACTTTCGTAAATTGGCCGGAATCTGTTAGTATGGCGCACTACCGGCTGAATCTGGCCGTTAGTGCGCCGATCTAGCCTTTTCCGGTCAGATCCACTGTGGATCTTGCCGGAAAAGGCCAGATCTAAGGCCAAAGATCTGGCCGTTGACGGCCAGATCTTTGGCCGTAACAGTTTATAACGACAGCCAACAAACGGTCGTCGTTGACCATCAACGACGACCGTTTATTGGTCGTCGTTGACGAGCAAATACGGCCAGATCTGGCCATAGATCTAGCCTTTGTCGGCCAGATCCACCGTGGATCTGGCCGGCAAAGGCCATATCGGCGCACGACCGACAAGATCCAGCCGGTCATGCGCCAATACGGTGAACCCGGCCACCCTCCGGCGGTGGTGGCCGGCTGTCCGTATTTGACATTGGGTTGGGGGTGTTTTTGTTAACTTTTAAGATTTTATTATAGGGGGTGTTTTGTAAATAAACAAATATAGGGGGTATTTTATTAATTTATAAATCCTACATCGTAATACCCGCCCAATTCAACTTTTTTTTAACTTTTTTCAGAAATTTTTTTTCCAAAAACACCCAATTGTGAACCAAACGAAGCCTATAGTTTCGAAATTTGGGCCATCACAACCCATGTTGGCCTAGCCATAATAAAATAAAACACCTGTCATCAATCCTTTTTTCCTACGTCAGAAACCTAAAATAGGAGTTAATATTTTAAATTTACTGAAAATTGTTTATTTCTAAAACTTTAATAACGTGTGTAACTGTGTATAATCTATTTCACTCAGTGTAATTTCGAAGGAAAGGGAGTTGATATGAAACTAGCGCCCCTGCCTAATCCTACAATTTTTGGGAACTAAGAAATAAGAGTCTTTGGTCATGTAGGTGATTGTGAGAGAGCTCAATACCCCACTTCTTATGGGAGCAAACCATCTGTTAAATATATCCCACTAAGCCTTCATGGGTGTCAAGGACTCAATCATAAACACTATATTCCATTTAATTTTTGGACCCTGCTACACTTACTGATTAGATTACTGATTTTGCTATACCGACCCACTGCCCAATTATTGACTTCTCAAAATTTATCTCAATTCACCAAAAGTCAGTATGTCAAATCGGTTGTTGACTCGGTAGCTTTAGCATTATTGTTAATTTTTTATGGTCTATTGCTTATCTAATTTAACACATTACTGTGCAAAGATGAAAAGGAATGATTGAAAAAATTCATGTCTTACAAGAAATAAAAACAGCAATAAGAAATTTATGTACGTACATGCGCACAATCTTATTAAAGTTTGAATAGATAATATAATCTCAACAGTATATGATGATTGTTTCAATTAATCAAACAAATATAAATAAAAGAGAGCATTTGCATACTTACAATTTCAAGCTAAAGATCCAACCTTCAGAATCTCTGTTGCTGCATTACATTCATAGGCCAAATATAAAAGCTTAGTGAGTCTAACGGTTGAAGCTACAAAAGCTCTATTTATTTAAGTCCCAGCAAACAAATGATTCAACTTATATAGAATTTAAAATGAAATTCTTGAAGAAGATACTTAAGAATAAAGCATTAATATTCTTAAATTAACCCCAACACAAGTAAATAGATCCTATATCCAAAGCTAAATATTCCTAAAGACTAAAGCAATTGATTAAATTCCTAGCAAGAAGAAAAGTATATAGTATTCTTAAACCTCTTCTCAAGCAACACATGTATTATAGATCACAAAAGAAAAGGCATGCCATAGGAATAACTCTTTTAGCATTGTGGTAACAATAAATGATACAAAACAATTAAATCAAGATTTAAATCATTTTTCTCTTTTTTTTTTTTTTTTTTTTTTTTTTTTTTTTTTTTTTTTTTTTTTTTAATGTGTCCTTTCATTATAAACTGGGTTCAAACCCAATGACAAGTTTCTTCGACCTAGGGCTTTAAATAACGGGGTTGGGATGGGCAATCACTTTCTTTCTCTAGGCCCAGGCTGAGGAGAAGGATACCCGGCCTCAAGATTTGCCATCATTCATTCATACATACATACATACATAAGTAATATTTTAATAAGAACTTCCTGATAACAATTTTATCAAGACCATAGTTTAATATCATTAGATATATCATCATTGCAATGCAATAATATTTTACATATGAATCCAATAACATGGTTTGACAAAATTAATATTAATACGACTTGATTCGCAGTTTTTGCATAAACACATAGATTGTTTTAAAGATAATAAACTTAACTTGGTTATATATCTTATTTTAATCATAGAGCTGTATTTATAAAAGGAGTGTTGAAGATCCCCAACCATCTACTAAATGTTTATTGAAGTATTATGTGCTTAATATATATATTACTTACTAACCATAGATATATAATATACACTAATTAATTAATTGACATAAATTATTTTTTTCTATTTAATAAATAATAGAATAGAAAATAATACTGTAACATATATTGTAATAGAATCTATACTGAAATATTTTTATTTAAAAAAAACACTGGATGTCCCGGAAAGAATTAATACAGTATCAATGAAATCTATAAATGATACTCAAAATTATAGTCTAAGCTTTAATTGTAAACAAAATCAGCCATGTTTTGTCCAAAAGATCAATATTGAAAATAAAATAGAAATTTTACGAAATAATATAAAGCCTTTTTAACAACAAGCATTAGTCGTCATTAGTAATAAATTACCATCTTGAAGTCTATTTTATAGGAGAAATCCAAATTAACATTATTTACCAGAGTCTTTTTTCACTAATAAGAGAGTATTAGGTTTGTTGTGACGTAAATCTTAATGGAATTTTTATTTTTAACTTGAGTTTACAACATAACACTTCAATCTAAGTATTAAATTTACTTGTCCTTGACGTCAGCTCTTGGGAGCTTCAATCAATTATATTTGGGTCACAATGGGGTTGCTAAATCCCGGGCCTGCGCTTGGGCTAGGGAGCCTGATGAAGGTGGGTTGAGGAATGAGACGTCACTGTTCTAAGGAAGGGTTCTATTTATACTTGAGGAATGTCTTTTGTTATTGAGTTGTGGCTTTCATTTCTTTTTTTTTTTTTTTTTAAATTAGGACAAGACCACAGCCTTGTCCTTTCCGGGCCCACACATAGTCATTTATGCTAAAGGTCCATTGGAATTTAGCTCAGGGCTCAATGTAGTCGATAATGCCCATAATAGTCATTTGCTCCTATGATTTTCCTAACAGCTTACATGACAACTTTACAATAATAAAAAATTCCAAAAACACTCTAGAATGTATATCTGAAAGGTGGAGTAACTTATTTGACTACAAAGGCTTTTGTGATAAAATAAGAATGTGATGAGAGGTGCATGAATTTTCTCAAAATATTTATGTTTAGTAGTATTTCTGATACGTTTACAAGTCCTAAAATACTTATAAACATGAGTGGACAAAGAATTACAAGTTCTGAAACATTTGCTCATTCAGTTGAATTGAAGAATTTCACTCCAAGTCCTAACACTTGGATTGTAGATTGCAATGGAGGAATTTCGGCCCAAGCAAGTTCCAAGGAGGGAGAGAGTCCAAACATTTTGACCCAAACCATTCCAAACCCAAGCTCAAGCCTACCAAGAAAGAAGTCCAAGTGTTGAAGTGGTCCAATTCGGCCCAAGTCTCATTCCAAAGGGGAAGATCCACATGAACCCTTATTGGATCCATTTGCATGATTTTCAAGGCCCAAACTCTTACACCCTTATTAGTAGACTTAATTAGGCACATTAATCAAGTTTTAATCTAATAAAGTAAGCTTATTTCAACTAATGGGATAGTTAAAGACATAGATCCTAGAATTAGGGAATCATCTCTTTTGCATTAAATAGGTATGACCTTGCTTTTTGAATGAATGGCTTGTAATATTGGTTAAGTTTATTTCATTTTAATGCATTTGTCAATTACTTGTTTACCCTTGTATTTGCCTATATAAAGGCAACTATTTCATTGTAACATTTAGCTTATAAAATATATTGAAATTTGGTTTATCCATTAGAGAGAACTTGTATGTTCTTGAGTGGCATTCTTTATCCAAGTCTTGGCAAGGGGATTTGGTGGTGAATCAATTCAAGTTGGTGGAGTAATCCTTTATGCTTGAAGTGTTTCACTTGTCTTGGTCCGAATTTGCAAGTAAGTGTGCTTTAGTTCATGTTTTCAATTTGGCCGAATTACTACTTGATTTTTGGAGTGTGTTGTGTTGTGTTGTTGAATTGGTTGGAAATTGATCATTTGGTATTAGAGCATAGGCCGTGAAGTGGTGTAGAATTGTTTTAGGGTTGAATTTGTGTAGTTTGGCTAGAATTTGAGTTGGAGTTGCCGAATTTTGGAAGTGTTTTGGCTTGAAATTGTTTTCTCCAATTAGCATTTCATTGAACCTTTTTCTCTTTCCTCAAATACTATTACCCTAACCAACTCCCTTACATCTTGTTCTCTTCTAACTAAGTCCATTGCCACCTCACCCAATCCTAACTAATTCCCTCCAAATTCAACTAAACCCATTCGTTCCCAATTTAACCCTAAACACAATTAATTAGCCTAATCCCTACTATTCATAAACACTATTCATAGATTACTATTCACTTCAACCAAAATCACCAAAACTTATACACTTGACCTTTCCCTCCCACTTTTCATTTTTCCAACATTAAAAAAAAAAAATTACTGTTCACCCAAAGTTACTATTCACTGTAGCTAAAACTCACCTAATTCTCATGGCAAACAAGACCACTTCCTCCCCAACTTCACCCCCACCATCATAAGAGTGTGCCAACCTAAAAATTCAAGAGGAACTTGATGAATTAAAGAAGAACATGTCTAGCATGATGGAATTGATGGTTAACATGTCTAAGGACATTGCTAATCTATCTCAATCCACCCTTGAAGAAACCCCACAATCGCCCCAACGAGAAGGTCGACCACACTACCGCCAAAGAATCATCATTAGGACACCATTATATATGGAGAACTTAAGGGGTAGTAGTGCATCCTCTAGTGAATTCGAGGCACGTAGGAGGAGAAGAGTTGATGATGATAAGGGTATTAAGATAGACTTACCTGAATTCAATGGAAGTCTTGACCCAAAAGACTTCATTGATTGGTTGCATGAGATTGAATGGGTATTTGAGTTTAAGAACTACAACGATGAGAATAGGTGTAAAGTAGCCATACTGAAGTTCAAGGAGTATACCTCTTTGTGGTGGGAAAATACAAGAAAGAAGAGAGAAAGAGAAGGGAATACTAGAATTAGGTCATATGAAAAGTTGAAGAGAGTGTTGAAGAAAAGGTTCTTGCCCGACAATCACAAGCAAGACCTTTATCTTAAGCTCCATAATTTGAAGCAAAAAGATAGAAAAGTTGAAGAGTATATTCGAGAGTTTGAAGGGTTGATTTTAAGAAGTGATATTCCCAAAGAGAAAGAGCATACAATTGCAACATTCATTGGTGGTTTGAGTTACCATTCTTTTGGGGATGTTTGCAAACTGTCCAAAAAGATTGAGAAACAATTGAATAGCAGGAAGTCCTTCGTCCCCAAGAAGCTCTTTAAGGAGAATAACTACCAAAGGGGTTCACCTTCCTACACTAAACCATATATGGCACCTACGGCTTATGATAGGAACAAAGCCAATGAAGCACCAAAGGAGAAAATAGGTTTTGTGAAGAATGATGCTCTACGGCCAAATTTGAGGAACAAGAAGTGTTTCAAGTGTCAAGGTTATGGACACTTCCAAGCTAGTTGCCCAAACCAAACGGTTATGACTCTTAGAGAGATTAATGAGATTGATGATGCATGTCAAAAGGATTCTAGTGAAGAAGAGGAAGTAGATGAGAGTGACAATGAGGTTATTAAGGAAGTCTATAATGGAGAGATGCTTATGCTCAAGAGGTTGTTGCATACTCAAGTAAACCCTCAAGAGAACCAAAGAGAGAACTTGTTTCATACAAGGTGCACCATCAAGGGGAAAGTTTGCTCAATGATCATTGATAGTGGGAGTTGTACCAATGTTGCTTCCACCACACTTGTGGAGAAATTGGGGTTGCCGATTGTAAATTATTCTCATCCATACAAGCTATAATGGTTGAGCAATGGAGACATTATCCAAGTAGTTCAGCAAGTAGTAGTACCATTCTCCATTGGCAATAACTATTCGGCTGAGGTGATTTGTGACATCATTCCCATGGATGCTTGTAATCTTTTACTTGGAAGACCATGGCAATATGACCAAGGGGTGATCCATGATGATCACCAAAAAACCGACTCATTCAAGCTCAACAAGAGAACCATTACCCTTGCACCATTAGCCCTCACCCAAGCCATTGTCCAAGGAACCAACCCGAAAAACCTTTTTCCTAAATAGCACCCAACTAGAGAAAGCCTTCCAAAAACAAGTCTCTCATTGCAATCCTTATAGCCAAGACAAATTGAGAGAGAAAACAACCTGAATTTCACCATCTCTTGGATGAATTTGTTGATGTTTTTCCTTAAGAGTTACCAAGGGGTTTGCCACCACTTAGGGGGATAGAACATGACATTGATTTGGATACCGGTGCCCCTCTTCCCAATAGACCAGCATATAGGTGTAATCCCAAAGAATCAAGAGAGATTCAAAGGCAAGTTGAGGAGTTGCTTTCCATGGGATTTGTGAGGGAGAGCATGAGTCCTTGTTCGATTCCATCCTTGCTTGAGCCCAAGAAGGATAACACTTATCAAATGTGTATTGACAGTCAGCCCATCAACCGAATAACTATCAAATATAGGTATCCCATGCCTCGATTGGATGACATGTTAGATGAGCTTCATGGTACAACCATATTCTCAAAGATTGATCTAAGAAGTGGTTACCATCAGATTAGAATGAGAAAGGGAGATGAGTGGAAAACGACATTCAAGACTAAGGGAGGATTATATGAATGGACGGTGATGCCCTTCGGCCTTTCCAATGCACCAAGCACCTTTATGAGGTTAATGAATGAGGTACTCAAGCCTTTCATTAGAAAATTTATGGTTGTATATTTTGATGACATATTGATATATAGTACATGTGACGATAGTTATGTAGAACACCTTAGCTTAGTGCTTGAATTGTTGAGGTAGAAAAGTTGTATACTAAGCTTGAAAAATATGAATTATTTATGAAGCAATTGGTGTTCTTAGGTTATGTGGTTTTGGGAAAAGACATTAACGTAGATCAATCCAAGGTAGAATCCATTCATAGTTGGCCTAAACCTAGTTCAATTATGGAAGTTATGAGTTTTTATTGTTTAGCCTCTTTCTACCGAAGGTTTGTACCTAATTTTAGTTCCATCATGGATCCCATAACTGAATGTTTGAAGAAGGGATCTTTTGAGTAGACTGAGGCATCAAATAAGGCATTTGACTTGATTAAGAAGAAGTTGTGTGGAGCTCCCATACTTGCCTTGTCAGATTTCAACCAAGTGTTTGAAGTAGAATGTAATGCAAGTGGTGTTGGCATTAGGGCAATTTTGAATCAATCCAAAAGGCCAATAGCATACTTTAGTGAGAAGTTTAGTGATTCAATGAGGAAATATAACACCTATGATAAGGAGTTTTATGCTATAGTGAGAGCACTTGACCATTGGATTCACTACCTTCGGCCAAAACAATTTGTCCTCCATTCGGACCACCAAGTTTGAGGTTCATCAATAGGTAGCACAAACTCAACACAAGACATGCTAAATGGGTTGAGTTCATCCAATCTTTCTTATTTGTGCTGAATTACAAGCAAGAAGCATACAATGTTGTAGTCGATGCACTCTCTAGAAGATATGCCTTACTTTCTTTATTTGATTCTAGAGTTTTAGGTTTTGAATTAATGAAGTTGTGTTATGAGGTAGATTTGGAGATGAAAATATGCATAACTGAATGTGGGAAACCTAGTTTTGAAGACTATAATATGCATGATGGGTACTTGTTCAAGGGTAGAAGATTATGTGTCCCTAAGGGTAGTTTCAGAGAATTAATCATGAGGGAAGCACATAGTGGTGGGTTGGCAGGTCACTTTGGGGTTACTAAGACTTTAGAAACCATCAAAGAATATTTCTATTGGTCTAAGATATTAGGGGATGTTCAAGCTCTCATTAGAAGGTGTGAGTCATGTCAAAGAGCTAAGAGTCAATTCAAGGCTGGCCCATACCTATCCTTACCCATAGCTGAGCACCCTTAGGAGGACCTTAGCATGGATTTTATGGTTGCATTGCCTAGGACCCAAAGGGGAAAAGATTCCATCATGGTAGTGGTTGATAGGTTCTCAAAAATGGCCCATTTCATATCCTATCATACCACACATGATGCCTCCAAAATTGCCGAATTATTCTTTAGAGAAATGGTGAGACTTCATGGCATTCGAAGAACCATTGTCTCAGATAGAGATACAAAATTTTTTAGTCATTTTTGGAGAATTTTATGGGGTAAATTAGGGACAAAATTGATGTTTAATACCTCACATCACCCTCAAACTGATGGCCAAACCGAAGTGGTGAATAAGGTGTTGGGTAATGTCGTAAGGAGTTTGGTGAGTAAGCATTTAAAGGATTGGGATTTGCAATTGGCACATGCTAAATTCACCTACAATAGGAGTCCTAGTTCTACTATGGGTCACACTCCATTTAAGGTGTTGTATGAGTAAACCCATTTATCCCTTTTGATCTCACTTTTCTAGCCCTTGATTTTGAGCCAAGTGTGGATGCTAATAAGAAATTAAAGCAAATGAAGAAACTCCATGAAACCGTGAGAGTTCAAATTGAAAAATCAAATTAAAAGATTAAAAATAAGGAAAACAAACATAGAAAGCCTAAGCTTTTCCAACCAGGGGATTTAGTGTGGATTCACTTGAGAAAGAGTAAATTAGCTTCGAGGGAAGATGGGTCTTTTGAGGTTGTTGAGAGGGTAAATGATAATGGTTATAAGGTGGAGTTGCCTAGTGAGTATGGGGGAGTCTCGGCCACCTTCAATGTGGGGGATCTAAGCCCATACTTGTAGGATGATTTGGATTTAAGGGCAAATCCTTCTCAATCCGGGGAGGATGATACGTTTACTAGTCCTAAAACATTTGTAAACATGAGTGGACAAGGAATTACAAGTTCTAAAACACTTGCTAGTTCGTTTGAATTGAAGAATTTCACTCCAAGTCCTAAAACACTTGGATTGTGGAATGTGGAATGCAATGGAGGAAATTCGGCCTAAGCAAGTTCCAAGGAGGGAGAGAGTGCAAACATTTCAGCCTAAACCATTGCAAGCCCATGCTCAACGAGGGAAGCTCAAGCCCGCTAAGAAAAAAGCCCAAGTGTTGAAGTGGTCCAATCCGACCCAAGTCTCATTCCAAAGGGGAAGATCCACATGAACCCTTATTAGATCCATTTGCATGATTCTCAAGGCCCAAACTCTTACAGCCTTATTAGTATACTTAATTAGGCTCATTGATCAAGTTTTAATCTAATAAAGTAAGCTTATTTCAATTAATGAGGTGGTTAAAGACATAGATCCTAGAATTAAGGAATCATGTCTCTTTTGCATTAAATAGGCATGGCCTTGATTTTTGAATGAATGGCTTGTAATATTACTTAAGTTTATTTCATTTTAATGTATTTGTCAATTACTTGTTTACCCTTGTATTTGCCTATATAAAGGCAACTATTTCATTGTAACATTTAGCTTATGAAATATATTGAAATTTGGTTTATCTATTTGAGAGAACTTGTGTGTTCTTGAGTATGCATTCTTTATCCAAGTCTTGGCAAGGGGATTTGGTGGTGAATCAATTCAAGTTAGTGGAGTAATCCTTTATGCTTGAAGTGTTTCTACTTGTCTTGGTCCGGATTTGCAAGTAAGTATACTTTAGTTCATGTTTTCAATTTGGCTAAATTACTACTTGATTTTTGGAGTGCGTTGTGTTGTGTTGTTGAATGGGTTGGAAATTGATCAATTTCCTTATACCTCATGGAGAGCTTTACGAATTGCACTATTCATTAAAGTCCTCAAACATACAGTCAAGGCATAATGATAATTTTTAGTTGTCCTATTGGCTCTTTATTGGTCATCTGCATTAGTTTATTCAAATATTGGTTGGTTCATTGTAATAGAGAAAGATTTTATGGACTTGTGTTAGTATTAAACATCTAATGTTAATTTGTTTCAATCAAGCTGCTTTAGGGCTTTCATTGGCTGCTAGAGCTAGTATAGAAACAGAGATGTACACAGCTTCTGCATAGTTTATTTCTCTATTTTCTTCTATGTTTCCTAACTAAAGTATGTTTTAATTCAGAAATTAAACTTCACTTTCAATCTTCTTTGCTACTGTATTTTGTGTGTTAAACAAAGCTGAAATTGTAGCAAACACGAGCTAAAATTACTTTGAACAAACTTTAACTACAAACACAATAAAGGAATCCATTTTCATAGAAATAAATATTGCCATGGAGAAAGAAGATGGCATGAAAGAACAACACAGTGATTGGCTATTATAATTCAACTAAATCACGTGAAAGAAAAACACAGCCATTTATTGCATCTTAATTGAGAGAAATCGTGAAATAGAATAATCTAGTTAACCTGGAGGATAGAGCATATGGCTTGAATCACAGTGAGTATGAGGAGAATAGTAGCAGCAATTACAGAAACGGTGGTCCATAGAGTTTTGAAATAATCTTGTTTCAAGATTGCCTTCCATTGGTGTGATGATCTTCTGCAGTCCTCGTTCAGCTCTTCCACAAGAGAAGAATAAAGGAAATGAGAACTTAAAAAAGGTCGTTGATTAAGGCGGTGAATTAGACTTGACACCAGTTCACAATCTCCCATTGAATTGTGAATAATTTGATGCTGGACAAGTATATGTACATCCTTGGGAGTGTTAACAAGGTAATCATGATGATAATATAGTCATTTAAGAGTTCATCTTTGCATTGACTTTGCTTAAAGGCTAAAAGATTTTTCACAACATTTTTCACGCGATTCCGTATTATGATTCGTGGAATTTCTAATATTCTATTGTGAAATCTTATATCAAAAAGCTTTTTGCTTAACCCCAACTTGAACTTCACTCCAACTTGATGTAATTCTTTTACACTTAATTTTTGGTTTCTCTTTCAATTGTGCATTCAAAGGTACAATAGAATTTCTTAAAAAGTCAATAAGACGCTTCAACCCCGAATATTTACTTTCATCAAAGTCTCCTCCATTCCTAAATAGTCTTGAATAGGATAGGTGAAATTATGGATAAGGTTAAAAATACAGGGCTTCTCTTGATTGTCAAAGGATATGTCTATATCAGCTAGCCTAAGCAAATCTTCAAGAATGAAGAATGGAAACTGATTTTCAAGCAAAAACAAGTCACCCCTAACATTAGTTATCTTAAATGGATTATTATGCACACGATCTTAAATAAAGCATTTCTCTTCAATATGTGTTAATAGTTGTTGAAACATCAGTCAAACACATGCAATAAAATAAACAAAACACTAAATAAGGGCATTTGATTTACTCTGGTTCATTCCGATTAAAGAACTATATCCAGCATTCAAATAGAGATTTTATTGAGTTTCAGAACTATGCAGCAATTACAAATCAATAATCGACCTACCTGAATCTATCCTGACCTAGGCCCAAATATTAGTAAAACAATAACAAGTCTAATTACTAATTGGACTTACCGTGAAGGGGGTGCTGCCCCCTCACTCTCGCCCGCTCACTAGTGAACGGGACCGCCGCCACTCACTGGGGAGCGAGACCCCCGAATGCGTCTGCGTAAGGGTCAAGACCATGCAAAATATGAACCATATCCAACAATAGTACCTCCGAAATGAAGACAGCATCCATTAAAATCACTTTCACAAAGTCATCACTACCAATTTCATTGGTTTCTGCATAACAATTACGCACTTTTGTTTCATTTTCCTTTATAACTTTTATACCAAACTCACTATTGCATTATTGTTGGGTGGTTTCCAGCAATCATCTCCAAACCATTCGTTTTTCTTTCAGAAAGATCAAGCCAATATTGTCATCCTACTTATCTATGTAGATGATTTATTTATGACTAGCAATGATGCTTCTCTTATTCAAGCTACTAAAGACTTGTTACATTCTCATTTCAAGTTGAAAGTTTTGGGTGCTCTTAGATATGTTTTAGGCTTTGAAGTTGCAAGGTCTTCCCAAGGTATTAGCTTATGTCAAAGGAAGTATGCTTTAGAGTTGATAGGGCTGGCTGGCTGTTTTTTGTCCCTCTTGATCGAAATTTGAAGTTTACTAGTGTGGAATATGATCACTATTTCCCTAGTCAGGAGGATCCTGCTTTGTCTGACCCATCAATGTATCAAAATCTAATTGGTAAACTTCATTATTTTTGCTTGGCTAGACCTGACCTTAGCTTTTCAACAAATCTTCTCAGCCAATTTATGCATCAACCCAAAGCAACCCCATCTTCATGTTGCCCTTAAAGTTGTTAGATATGTCAAGAGTTCTCCTTGGTTTGGGTTTTTTTCCCTGCACATGGTTCTCTTCAGCTTCAAGCCTTTTGTGACTGAAATTGGGCTTCTTGCCTTATGACTCGCAAATCTATTACTAGTTTTTGCATTTTTTTGGGAGGTTCTTTGTTATCCTGGAATTTTAAGAGGCAGGCTACTATTTCCCGATCATCATCTGAAGCAGAATATCGTGTTATGGCCTTAACAGTTTGTGAGCTTGTTTGGCTAACTCCACTCTTAACTGATCTTGCTCTTCCTCTCCAGCTGCCTATTTCTCTTTTCTATGATAATCAGTCTGCCATCCACATTGCTTCCAACCCAATGTTTCATGAGCGTACTGAAGCACATTGATATTTACTATCACATTGTTCATACCAAGATCAAAGAAGGCTTGATACATCCCACTCATATTCCTACTTATGAGCAACCTATTGATCTGTTTACTAAGGTTGTTTCTAGTCCTTTTCATCGCCATTTATTGTCCAAGTTGGAAGCGATTGACATTCATCCCCTACCAACTTGAGGAAGGGTCTTGGATTATCAGTTGCAATCTGTTTTTAAATAGTTAATAGTAGTTAATAGTTTGTTAATGTTATGTTAGTTAGATTGTACAACTATGGTTAGATTGTACAATTGTGGTTAAGTAAACCATAGTTACTGGAGCCATTATAAAAATGTAATAATTCTTGTACTTTGTGAGCTGAATAAGAATTAATAGAAATCTTTTCTTCTTGAATCCTCTTCTCTGAATAAATCAAATAATATGAAAATATGGTTTGGAAGGCCACTATCAAACGCTTAATGAAGAAAGTGGTGGCATGAATGATGTACTTTACATGTTATATAACATAACGTTAAGTAACTTATAATAGTTTTATTGGATATGCCATTAATTACATATGAATTTATTTCTACTGCTATCTGTTCTAAGACTTCACTCATACCATGCCTCAAAAATTTAGGTGATTTTAGGACAGATCACCTAAATTTCTGAGGCAAATTTAGGACCCCTTGCATTGTAGGTAACTTTTACACTATTTTCCGGATATGTTATATTCTCTTGATGTAATTAAATTAATTCATGCAAATTCAATTTCTTATTCTTATTCTTGTAGGCTGATTCCCTAGCTGGTATGCATGCCAATGCACATATACCTATTCTTGTTGGAACGCAAAGGCGGTATGAAATCACTGGTGATCCTCTTTCCAGGGTAATTTAATTTTCAATTTCTTATTTTATAATTTCTCATTACCATAATCTCATTTTGGAAAAATTAACTCTAAAGTTTGCTAATCTTTGGATTGCCAGACCATGGTGACTTTCTTCTTTGACATTGTTAACTCTTCCCACACATATGCAATCGGAGGATCAATAATAAACACTAGTACTGACAAATAGTGTGTTTAGCATTCATCGAAGGACGGATCCTAGAATTATGCTTTATATGCTTCCACTAGGCCCTGGAAAATCCAAGGCCAATAGTTTTTTATGGTTGGGGAACAAAGTTTGACAGTTTTTGGTGTTGTTATGGAACAGGTATCGAATCCATTGCTTTCTATGATGTCATAATTAGACTTCTTTTATGAACCGAGCATTTGATAGATTTTCATTTTTTTGCTCTTGTCAGAATTGAATCGTTCTTCAAATTAGGAGATTCCATATATTTTTAAGAGGTAGGTGAAGTTCCTGCTCTCTACATATTCCAATATGTATCAAGCTCGATCAATTGGGAATCTGGAAAGTTTGTGTTGAATCAAACTGTTGATCCTGTTTTTTCATTGGATCCTTGCCTTCGATTGACGATAACATTCTCCTCAACCAAGGTACTTACTTCATTTTATCATCTTATTCATTACTTGATCAAAGCACAAATGTGAATGAGAACTAATCTTGATGCTATGGATCTCACTTGTGGAGGGGGCAGTAAAATCAACCTTGAATTTGCAGATACCAAGTTAGACAAGTTTGAGCGGTATCAAGGCAAAATTAAACAACTAGCTATTGACTGCAGTAGCCTCAGGCTTGTAATTCAATTAGACAGAAAGGGATCCATTATCTTTTTTTTTTTCTTTTTTCTTTTTTTTTCTTTTTTTCATGTATGACAATTGAATTGCATTCTGGGTTGTGGTAATCATCATTTTGTGACAACGAAATGGAGCTCTAGAGACAAATAACCATTCAGTTTCTGATGAACTCAACCACCGGATTCACGCTGACAATAAATAATAACAGGAAAACATACACTCAACGCAACACACTCAGCAAGAAACTGAAATAAACTCTTATATTAATGAATATGTTCGCAACACTTGATTGAAAACAATAAAACAGAAATTGAAAAAGACTCAACACAATGCTGAACTTCAAGGGTCAGCTCCTCCTAATTACTAACTTCAAGGGTTAGGTCCTCCCAATTCTTTTCCACTAATTTTCCATGCGCCACCACGCCTACTGTTCCCCTTTTATCTTTGCTCCAGATTCTTTTTGCAAAAAATCTAGACACCCGTCGTTTTCTCATTGTGCCAGCCAGCTGACTCATAACAAATTCATAACCAATTCCTTACACCTGTCACCCTTTCATTGTGCCAGCCCTCACTCTTTCCTCGCTACCATCTGTCCCCATTTGGTCAGTCTTACCTTTTCCCTTGTGCTTGGTTCTAACAAACCATTTGGTTACCGGAGGTACCATTTGGTTACCAGAGGTCCATCAATACCCTCACCAAGGACTTCCACCTTGTCCTCAAGGTGGGAAGATGGAGATTGTTTACCCGGCACCATTTCTCTCCTGCACTCCTTCACCGCCCTCTTCTTCTTTACCCAACTCTTCCTCATCTTCTATCATTCATTGGAAAGGGGTCGATTCATTGTTGATCATGGGCGTTGACCTTGAGCTGGAACGATTTTCGATGAAGCTTCGTCGAATATGAGTCTGATTTGGGGAATGGGTATTAATCTAGCTATTAGATCTAGGTGGGTCAAAATTGAATTGGGCTTTGGGCTGGTCTTCAGCCCTGCAGAGATTAGAATAACTTTGCCACCCAGTGTTTAGTGAAGCCCACTTTCCTTAGTGGCTTGGCCCAATTATGGCCAGTTCCACTGCAGCATTTCTTTCTTCAACTCTTTGGGCTAAATGGGTCACTTGGATTAGAGAGTTTGGTCAGGTCAGAATGTTGGGTTGTTGCAGATGAATCTCCGCCTTGATCTCAGGTTTCAAGCCACTCAGAAATGCAGCTGTGAGGACTTCCTTTCTTTCACTGCCTGTTAAAGCTGCTAGCTCCTCTAACTTTCTACGATATTCCAAGTCTTTCCCTATTTGTCACGTGGCCATGAGTAACTCTAGTGGGCTAAGCTCTTGTCCTCCACTAAAACGTTGACATAGAGAAAGTTTCAGCTCAGTCCATGTCATCACAGCTCCCTTGGTTTCCATCCACTGATACCAATGGAGAGCTTCCCCCTCCATGCATAGTGCCACTGCCGTCACCTTTTGGTCATCGGAGATATGGTCGATCGAGAAATATCATTCCATGCGAAAGATCCAGCCATGCGAATCTTCACCGGAAAAAACTGGTAACTCTAGTTTCCAGCCTCCCTACTCGCGGCAACCCCATGCCTCTCCGTTGTGCTGGTGGGACTCATGTTCCATTCGTCCCCCACTGTGATCTCCTTCCGTCTATTCCTGTCAGTCTCGGTCCAGTTCGTGTTAGCTTTCCTTGCCTCTGTTTGAAGTTCTAGATAAGTTCCTCCTTCTCTCCTCTTCTTCTTCGTCCTTTTTTCGCATCCAGTTCTGGATGCTCATCAAAATCTCACGCATTGAGTTCATGGTTTCTGTCACCTTGGCCACATCTTTCTCGACATTATCCATCCTAACGTCCATCCTTGTACCAACCATGCCCTACCCTTACCGAGCTCTGATATCAATTGATGAACTTAACCACCAGATTCATGCTAACAGTAGATAATAATAGGAAAACATACACTCAACGCAACACACTTAGCAAGAAACTGAAATAGACTCTTATATTAATGAATGTGTTTGCAACACTTGATTGAAAACAATAAAACAGAAATTGAAAAGGACTCAACACAATGCTGAACTTCAAGGGTCAGCTCCTCCTAATTACTAACTTCAAGGGTTAGCTCCTCCGAATTCTTTTCCACTAATTTTCCATGCTCCACCACGCCTACTATTCCCCTTTTATCTTTGCTCCAGATTCTTTTGCAACAAATCCAGACACCCATCGTTTTCTCATTGTACCAGCCAGCTGACTCATAACAAATTCATAACCAATTCCTTACATATGTCACCCTTTTATTGTGCCAGCCCTCACTCTTTCCTCGCTGCCATCTGTCCCCATTTGGTTAGTCTTGCCTTTTCCCTTGTGCTTGGTTCTAACAAACCATTTGGTTATCAAAGGTACCATTTGGTTACCGGAGGTCCATTAGTTTCCTATCCATCTTTGGACAGAGGCCATTAAAGGTATCTTCATGAGTAATTTACATATACAAACTATATATTTTCTGAGATGTATAACAGTGACAAAGTTTTTTTTTTTCTGTTCAGAAGATTGGCATGATTATTTTGCTTTTCAGGCAATATTTATGGTCCTTATCTACTTGTCGGTTATACTAATGAAGATTGGGAAATAAAAAATAAACCAGCTAAATCTCTTTCAAAATGGATAACCCCAATTCCTGCCTCATACAATGCTAACCTGGTTACGCTTTCTCAAGTCTTCGAAAATTCAACTTTCGTCTTAAAACCAATCTGTTACAATGGAAAAGCTTCTAGTGCATGACACTAATGCTTCTGTTTATGCTACTTTCATACTCATCTTTAATGATGCAGCTACCTCAAAATTTTCATCAGTCAAAGATGTTATCGGCAAATCAGTTAGTCAAGAATGGTTTGATCTTCCAGGAAAGTTGTTGCAGAAAGGAAAAGATCATAAACTTGAGGCAACGAATTCTCCTAGAAGTAGATGCTCGTATAATTACCATTTGGTTGTGGGATTGGATGAAAAAGTTGAAATAATATCGTTGGAGTTGGAAAGCCGAAAGGCTTGTATAGTGGTGCGAAGTTAAAGGCATGTACAATCCTGAATATTAGAATGTAAATGTGTGAAGCTAATGTTTAAGTCCAACGCTGTTGTTTTGGTCCAAGCCTCATGCAATCCTGACGGTTGATTCAAGGGTCATCCTATGGCTGAAATTTTCCTGAAAAGTCAAAGATATAAAAAGAGGACAACTCTCCAAATTAAAATATACAGTGAACAAAATCAGTTTCCTTCTTCTTCTTTGACTTTGTTACACTCTGTTTTGCTAGGTTTTTTGATTTACTTTAACTCTTGTA